GCCACCTTAGGTGTATGTGGCTGGTGCCTTAGCCACTTGAGCCACAGGTGCCGAGCCCCAACTCAGGCTTAAGCAATTCTCTTGCCTCAGCCTCCCAAGTAGCTGAGACTGGAGGAAGGTGCCACAACACCTAGCTATATTTTTTTGTTGCAGTTGTCATTGTTGTTTAGCTGGCTTGGGCTAGGTTTGAGCCCACCAGCCTCAGTTTTTGTGGCCAGCACCCTAACCACTGAGCTATGGGCACCATGCCAGTTTTTCTATTTTTTGTAGAGATGGGTCTTACTTTGCCTCAGGCTGGTCTTGAACTCCTGAGCTCAAGGGATCAAGCCACCTCAACCTGTGAGTGCTAGGAATGTAGGCAAGAGTCACTGCACCTGATTCCCTGTTAATGAGTGTTTTGATTTTTTTTGAGATAGTCTTACTCTGTTGCCTTGGATAGTATTAATGAGTGTTAATCTAAGTTATTAAAAAAGCTTAACTCATGATATACTTACCATAATTAATTTCCATATAGGTTGTATAATAAAGCCTTTTCCTAATGAAAAATAATGCCAGATAACCAAATAGTATTCTAGTATTTATTTAGGAAGAAGTTTTACATATTAGGATAAAGTGGGAGAAGTTAACCTAGAACTCAATCACTTCCAATCACTCTTCCCGGTCATTTCACGATAGCCATAAGAGGCCTCTGACAGGAATTAAGCTTGTGTGCTGTGAGAAGCTCTCTAGCCTTTAATTACTAAGGTCATATGCCTGATACCTAACTGATACACTCTGACTACATCTGTCAGCTCCTGTCATAAAATCCTTAAGCACATGGATGACTGCAGTAGAAAGTCTATACAAAACCACAGCCCAGCCTGCCTTCTTCAAAGCAGACCATGCTGCCCCCCCATGTATGTGAGCAGAGTCAAGCTTTGTGGCTGAAAATGGCAGTTGAGGAATATAATCTCTACTCTACGCCTGTAACTTGGCTTGGTATCTGTTTTTATACATTAGCATAGTACTTTTACTTAAAATGGTAATAGAAAAGAATACACACACTTTACTATAAAATTTGAAATCCAGTTAGAACATTTCTGTGTAGCCTAGCAAGGACTTTGAGACTCCACATGGCAGTGCTGGTGTGAGCAGGTGTGGGAAGGATGGCCACTCATGGCAGTTTCAGAGCAGGCGGACTGTCTTCCCAGTCACTGTCAGGAAGTCAGCATCAGCCAAAGCACGCAGTGCTTCTTCAAACATATCTTTGGTTATTGCCTTTGGTGAAAAGAAGGAAAATAAATACTTCACATGTAAAGTTTTCCCTCAACTGTTAGAGACACAGTATATAGAAGATTAAACATCATACTTACTACAACAGTCACCAATATCAAATGTCCTGACAACAGTAGCAACCTTAAGGTACCACTTAGAGTCTCTTTATGGTGGCACACATTTCTTAATTCTCTAAATCATGGTTGCTAAACATTTCCTGCAAAGAGCCAGATGGCTATTTTGGGCCTGGCATCTGTACAATCTCTGTTGTAACTATCAACATTGTCCTTGTAAGTGACAGGTGTTATAAAAGTAAGCAAATTGGTTTGGCCCCAGAGTTCTTTTCACTAAACAATCCACCTTACTTATTCATAAAAGTGTACCCAAATATTTCATACTTTTTTTTTTTTGAGACAGAGTCTCACTATGTTGCCTTTGGTAGAGTGCCGTGGCGTCACAGCTCATAGCAACTTCAAACTTTGGGCTCAAGAGATTCTCCTGCCTCAGCCTCCCAAGTAGCTGG